TACAGATTGGTACAAAATGATAAAGGTTAACAAAAAGGGTTGAGGTCTAACAAGATGAATATAGCAAGTTAGGATGTAATTTTAAAAAAAAAGGAGGACCTCAAAGAGTTGTAACCTGGAGGTCACCACAGTGCAACATTCTAGCAAGAATAGTTTGCTGGTGCTGTTGGGGAGGGTTTAAACTAGAATGGCAGGGGGATGGAACAGGAGGAGACAGGAGGGAGAAACAAGAACAGAAATAAAATCGATAGGAACACTAAGAAGCCAAAGTGGAAATGAACACCCAAGAGTATTCATTATTTAGGAAGGACAGAAAGGGAAGGGGAGGCGGGACAGCATTGTTAGCAGAGAAGGGAATCAATGCAATAATGAAGAAGGATACTGGCTCAGCAAATCAGTGTGGTATCTGTTGGGTGGAGATAAGAAACTCCAAGAAGCATAAGACATGATTGGGAGCCTATAGACAGCCCCCATACTGGAGGGGAGATGCAAGGGAAGGCAACAAATGAGAAAGCAGAGATGCTTGTAATAAGGATACAACTATAAACGTAGGAGACTTAAATTTGTATAGATTGGACAAATCAAACTTAGAAATAGTGTTATGAAAGAGTATTTCTAGGAGTGTGTGTAAGTGACGGTTGTCTGGATGAACATATTGAGGAACCAACCAAGCTATTCTCGATTGGGTATTGTGCAATGAAAAAGAATGAGTGGAGAATCTTTTTCTGTGGGGTCCATTGGGGAAGATCAAACATAACGAGAGTCGCCCTCTTAAATGAAGAATTCTAAGATAGTTGATCCTGAAACTTGGGCTGTGAATCTAAACAAAAAGGAAATTACAAGGGCTTGAGGTACAAATTGCCAAGGATGGAGTGGGGATATCTCCCAAATGGGAGAGTGTGGATAAGCAATGGTTCACATTTAAAGAACATGTGCATGAATTACAACAAACTATCATTCCTGTCTGGTGCAAAAAGGGGGAAAAAAAAGGAAAGATGGCTCAATCAGCTTACAAAAGAAATTGTGTATAGTGCTAATCCAAAGTGGAGACTAAGTTTCCAAAAAAGGCAGAAAGCCTAAGAATGGAAGCATTTAGAATTCAGCAAGAAGTCAAAGTTTGACCAAGAGAGGCAAAAGAGAGTACAGGTGTGATATTGTGGGGGAAAACACAGAAACTGACTATAAAAGCTTCTATAAATACATGAAAAGAAGATTAAGAAAATCTAAGCCCCTTACCATCAGAAGCTGGGGAAATTATAATGGGAAACAAAGAAATGTCAGAAGAATTTAATACGTATTTTGGTTTGATCATTAAAAAAAGCACAGAAGTAAAAATAGTTAGCAAAACGGGGTCTGGTTAGAAGGCAGAATTAAGAAGAAAATGGTGCTGGGGAAAGTAATGGGGTTAAAGGCTGACAAATCACCAGGGCCACCCCTACATCCCGGAGTACTAAAGGA